TCATGTGTTTTTGCTGCTCTACTTCCTGCTCCTTTGCTTCTTTGCTTCCTGTCTTTACTGTCCCTTTGTTTTTCATTTTCTGTTGCTTTATTCGGTTCTGTTTGTATCCTAAATGAAACCCTAGAGAGACCCTAGGTGAAACCCAAAGAAACCCTAATAAAATACCCTACATGAAAACCTAAATGAACCCTAAAGAAACCATAAATGAACCCTGAAGAAACCATAAATTAATCCTAAAGAAACCATAAATGAAACCCTAAAAAAACTTTAAATGACACCCTAAATGACATCCCAAAGACACCCTAAACAACACTTTGAAAAAAGGAAAATGACACCTTAACTGATGCCTTAGCTGAAACCCTGAATTGACACCCTAAAGAAACCGTAAATGGAACCCTAACTTGAAACCCTAAATGAAACCCTAAAGAAACCCTAAATGAAACCCCCAAGAAGCCCTAAATGACACCCTGAATGAAACCCTAAAGGAACCCACTTGAACGTTTAGAACCGTGAGAAAAATTGATAAGAAACCCTGGAATGAAACCCTAAAGATTGCTTAAATGAAACCCTAAATTGAAACCCTAAATTGAAACCCTAAATTGAAACCCTAAAGAAACCCTAAATGAAACCCTAGAGAAACCCTAAATGAAACCCTAAATGAAACCCTAGATGAAACCCTAGAGAAACCCCAAAGAAACTCTAAATGAAACCCTGAAGAAACCTTAAATGAGACCCTCAATGAAACCCAAACTGAAACCCTAAAGAAGCCCGAAATGAAACCCTCAATGAAACCCTAAATTGAAACCCTAAATGAAACCCTACATGAAACCCTATATGAAACTCTAAAGCAGCCCTAAAGAAACCCATTTGAACGTTTAGAACTCCTGATGAGAAATCCTGATAAGAGACCCTACATGAAACCGCAAAAAACCCTAAATGAAACTCTAAAGAAACCCGAACCCTAAAGAGACCCCAAATGAAACCCTAAAGACACCCTAAATGAAACCCTAAAGACACCCTAAATGAAACCCTAAATGAACCCCTAAATGAAACCCCAAATGAAGCCCTAAATAAAACCCTAAATGAAACCCTAAATGAAAGCCTAAAGAACCCTCAAGAGATCCACATGAACGTTTGAAGCCCCAAAATGTAGCAAATACCATGCAAATGAGAGGTTGAAATGCCAGCATGTAACAAATACCATGCAACATGGAAGGCAAACATAGCCAAATGTAGCAAATACCATGCAAAATGCAAAGTGACCATGCCAAAATGCAGCAAATACTATGCAAAACGACAGGTTTCAGTTCCAAACTGTGGCAAATACAAGGCAAATGGTACTGGGAAAGAAAGCCAAAAAAAAATCCAAAATCAAGGGGGATTCAACCAGCAAAGATAGGGGAAAATGGAGGTTTCAACAAACAACATGGGGAGAACTAAGCAACAAAACAAAAAAAATTGACCAACTAGAATGAGATTCTTAATCAACAAGGATATGACAAATATTTGGTGATATTAGACAATTTTCAGTATCATGTGTTTTTGAAACATGAATTTTTCCGAGTCGCAAGTGGGAGGTTTGCTATTATATCTCCCGAACACATGAACATTTTTAGTCTCAACAAACATGGCAACCCATCATTCTGAGGAAAGCTTGATGAAAAACTGTGGGTAAATCAGTGTGGTAAATCCAATCAATAGAGTTTGAGGGTATTCCACATTGTTTTTGATATGGTAAGTACATGTAAGTACACTGCCAAGGTAAACATTTTTTGCTGTGGAAATTTCAAACAATTGGAGCGCATGCTTGTTTGCCACATTGCAGTTGCAGGATTTTATGGCCTTCAAACGGATTTAGCTTGGAAAGGGACCTCTTGACTTGAAAAAACAACAATTTTTCTTCTGCTTTGACTGTTTTTTTTTGCTTGTACCACACCAGGTTCCAATTCGCGAGGCATGGTGTTAACAATTAGTTGCTTTCTTCTGGGGCATTCTTTGAGCATGTCCAACTGAAATTTTTGAAGTGTGCAAGTAGGCAAGGACATGCCTCCCAAAGGGGGAAACTGCCTGGTTTTCTTTGCCTCGAGATCCGAGATGATCGAGTCATGTTCATTAAAAGGCAGGATTTGGGCTGCAAGGCAGGGCAATGATTTTGATCTATTCCTGGCCACCCCATATTCGGGGTCAGCGTGGGACAGGATTGCAAGGCTGAGAAGAACGGCAAAGCTTGCAGGAGGAAGAAGAAAGATTTAAAGAAGGACCCATCGTGGTGGGTCCGTGGTGGTGGTTATTGGACATCACATTTTCTAATTGGACAATTGGACATCGGTGCGGCAGACTCGTTGGTTTTTTTTGGACTCAAAACTGGGGATGGGTCAAGTTACCTTTGATGAATTCCATGGATCATTTCGATTTGAATGAGGAGGATATTGAGGATACCAGTAGTACCGCACAAGGCGGTGGCGGAAGTTTCAAAAATAGGAAACCTATAGGAGAGGTTGGTTGTTGTGAATCAAGGATGGCAGAGCGAAGCCACTGATGGATTGAAAGGTGCTTGATCTCTCTCACTCTTTCTCTCTCTCTCTCTCTTGCTCTGCCTATCTACCTACCTACCTATCAATCTATTTTCTATGTATCTATCCAGCTATCGATCTATCTATCTATCTATCTCTCTCTCTCTCTCTCTCTCTCTCTTTCATCTGTCTATCTGTCTAGCTGTCTACCTGTCTATCTATCTATCTATCTGTCTGTTTGTCTGTTTGTCTGTCTACCTGTCTATTTGTGTTGCAGTGTCATTCAGTGTAATGTAGTGTAGTGTAGTGTAATTTGGTGTAGTGGAGTGTACTGGAGTGTAATGTAGTGTAATGTAATGTACTGGAGTGTAGTGTAGTGTAATGTCCTGTAGTGTAGTGTCTTGAAGCGCAGCGACATCTGAACCTCCAAAAGTGGTCCGAACCCCTGGTGTTTTTAACATTTTGACTTGGAAATGTGCTTCGCGCCACAACAGCGTGCACTTCTTCAACATCCGAACCTCCAAAAGTGGCGCGAACATGTGGTGTTTTGTACATTTTGACTTCGAAATGTGCTTCGTGCCACAATGGCGTGCACTTTTTCAACATCCGAACCTCCAAAAGTGGCGCGAACATGTGGTGTTTTGTACATTTTGACTTCGAAATGTGCTTCGCGCCACAACGGCGTGCACTTTTTCGACATCGCAACTTCCAAAAGTGGTCCGAAGCTGGTGTGTTTTGTACATTTTGACTTCGAAATGTGCTTCGCGCCACAACGGCGTGCACTTTTTCAACATCTCAACTTCCAAAAGTGGTCCGAACCCCTAGTGTTTTGTACATTTTGACTTGGAAATGTGCTTCGCGCCACAACGGCGTGCACTTTTTCGACATCTCAACTTCCAAAAGTGCTCCGACCATGGTGTGTTTTGTACATTTTCACTTCGAAATCTGCTTCGCGCCACAACGGCGTGCAGCCTACTTTTCGACCCTCCGGAGCCCCAAATCATTGGAAAAACACAGTGTTTCGCGACTTTCCCACCTTTTCGCGCATCTGCATCTTCTTTCTTCTTACTCTTTCTCTTCTACTCTTCTTTCTTCTAATCTTCCTCTTCTCTCTGCCTCTTCCCTGCTCTGCTTTTCATCTGTCCATATTGTCGGAAGTTTGACTTCTAAACTTCCTTCGATTAGAGTTTTTCTGAAAATAGGATAGTGCAAAAACCCACTCATGGTCTATCATGGTCTTTCCCACCCAAATTGCCACCATCTGGAGCATTTGCCCATTTCTGGACAACCCGTATCCATTCTTCACATGCAATATCATTTTTTTAACGATTAATTTTCCATGATTGATTTCCACTAACATGGTAGCTTAATCCCACATTCTCCATGGCTGTACCAGCCTACAACAAGGCCTTAGACTTTGCTATGAAGAAACAGGGCAAGAGCACCACGGGCACCACGGGCACCACGGGCACCACGGGCACGGGCAGCACGGGCACTTCGAGAGCAACTTAGCTGAACGAATCAAGAGATGGTCAATGTTGGGGCACGGGCCCCTTTTGTGAACAGAGTTGGGACCTTTTTTTGAACCTTCAAAGACCGTCCGTTCACAAAAAAAACCAGCTATTGGGGGTCCAATCATTTGACCCACAGATGAAAGAGGGTAAAGCCGTCAGCAAATTGGCTGGCTTTACCAACAGACAATGACCAACAAGAATGGGATTGGTTTAACAGACAAGTTATATATCAATCATGGTTTTGACATGTGAAATCACCATCAAATAATAAGGGTTTGCGGGATACCTAAGAACATTCAATTTCAACGGGCGTCAATGATGATTGATTTACAATTTTTGGGTGTCTATTTACTCGTTTTTCCCCGCAATCTTTCAGATAGCTCAATTCTGGATTAAACACAAGAGAGTTTCCTGGACCCTCTAGTTCCCCAGTTCCAACCATTTCTTATGTAAGTAATCTAAGCCATGAAAGAATAAAACAAAACCACATGTCTTCTTTTTTGGGATCCGGTTTCCTTCGTGTTTTTTTTTAACGCGTCAAGGTTGGTGGGGAAATATTGTGCGGAAATATCGTATCGTATCGAGAGAATTCAGGGCTACAATGGAAACACCAACGGGTTTCTGCCATTTCGACAAGGCGAAAACCCTGGGCTCTCCTTGAAAGTTGGAAGGATATGTGCCCGTCCTTAAAATCGCATGTGGACTGTGATGGTTTCAGATAGCTTTCATTTTCCATCCTTGGGGGTCACGGTCTCAATGACTTTGGCGACTTTGGCATTTTTGAGCACCTTGAGAACCTTTGAAACCACCCAGCCATAAAGTATTATTTTTTTGGTGAATATGTTCACACTTAGACGGTTTCATCAAGCAGCCTACGTGTCGGGATGAAACCCGACATGTTCGTTGCTCCCATACTGTAAGTTACATCCCAACTTCATCTAAGATCCTAAGGTTGTCTAAGGTTTCACCGCCA